AAAAAGCAGAGACCCTCAGAACCACCCAACTGCTCCTGAATGCCTACCCTGAGGTTCTTTATGGCTTCCAGAATTGTGGGTCAATTATAAAGCCTTTGTTCCCCAATCTGGATATGAGCACACATTCATCTGAAGCACAGAGTTTAAAAACCAAATCCAAACCTGTCCTAGAGAAGAAAGAGTGTTATCTCTGCCTGCTGGGAGGTCCTGACCCACTTTGCTATTTATTTTGCTTTTGGATGACACTAATGAGACAGAAAGGAAAAAGGCATGTATTATTAGCTCCTAACACACCCATTAGAGGATGCATGAAGACCTGAATTGGCCAGCTGAGCCTGTAGTCAGTCAAAAAGATCTCTTTTTTTCCTGCTACTGCTGCCTGAGTTCTTATGACAGGCTTCTCCTAATCACTTCAAATACTTATCACTTTCAGCCACTCAGGAATAGCCCCAAAATATTTCCAGTGTAGTGATATACTTGAGGTTTGATAGATAACACCAGGAAAAATAGGACAGCAAACATTTTTCTGCTTGTAATAGCATCTCCTTTGAAGCTGCAAGAGGCCTAATGACACAGGCTGTCTCAGCCCTCCTAATCATAGGGGCTTTTTCCCCCCTGAAGTGTTTATGCAGAACTAAAGCAGATTGTGCATGGTGCAAAAGCACTTACACCCAGAACCTGAGGAAGTACTTAAAATTACAGCCCAAAAGATTTTTAGGAACTGCAAGGAGGCCCCTGGAAGACATAGCAATGTACTCATCCTTTCATTGTGCCTAACTTAGTATCCAAAGGCAGCTTCCTGCCACGTGAGTGCAGGCCCAATCTCCATAACAACCAGTCACATATGGCACTTAATCACTCCTGCAAGCCTTCAGTGCATCTCCAGTTTCAAAATACCATTATAGGATCTTCCTAGTCTGATTGTTCCCAGGAACAGGGATGAACCACCACCACCGCTTCCTTCTTCTGAGCTCTGAAGGAAGTCATGAACAGGAAGACTTACATTCCCCATTTTTAAAGACAAACCAACCCAAGGAGGTCTAGCAGCTTGCCCAAAATGAGATCAGCAGAGACACATTTAGGAGCAAAGATAATGAACTCCCCATCTCTTCCTGTCCCAAACCTTCCCAAAAATACAAGTAATCTGAACATGAGGCCTGCCTTTAAATGGTCTCTTGGCATAATCTCCCTCCACACAGTAGAGACAAGCGATCAGCAACAGCAACAAAAAGACAAGGGGCAAAGAGCAAAGAGATCAGCTCCAGCTTGAGAAAAGGAAACACTAATTCTGACTTTAAATTGTTCTTCACTCAGACAAGTAAAGCAAAACATCTGTTATAGCTAACCAAAATTCCACATGCAGCCCCTGCGAGAAACGCCCTGCGCCCAGAGATCCAGGCTGAGCGCAAAATTCCCATGGATGTATCCCTCTCTTCCTCTAGTCACAAAGTAGCCACAGCAACGCAGCTGCAGCTGCTACAAAGTCACCATCAGCAAAGGGATCTCCCCCAGCCCAGAAGCATCCCCAGAGCTGCCCTGCCCCAGGCCCAGGTCAGGCTGTCAGTGGGGCAGAAGGGAGAACAGACCTTGACTGTGAAACCTTCCCCTCCACAGAAATGGATACCCAGCACCCAAAACTCCCAGCACCACGCTGAACCAGCTACTGGGGCGTAGCCCAGAACACACTCGTCAAACCACAATTATTAAAACAGCATGGCAGCTACTTAATTAAAGAGATTGCACTTGAAACGAACTTACCATCTCTGTCTTCATCATGAATATTCAGATACAAGTATTCCAGTCCTCTTCCTTTCTTGCCATGCTCTGCTCCCTGTATTTTAGCCATGAGTGTGGTTTTGCCTGAACCATCATCACCTGCCAGTAAGTTTGTAGAAGAAAAAAAACACCTTCAGAATTACATTTGACTTCATAGAAAATATTTTTTCACAACTTGCTTAATTAATGAGAAGCATCCTTGTACACTTCTGAATTACAGTTCTTTGCTTTTCTCTTTCAAGTATTTCAGCTAAATCCAATGGCTTATACCAGAACAAAGAATGAAGAATATCTTATTCTCTGTTATTCCTTAAAATAGGCTATAAATCTAATAGTGGAAATCAAAGAGAAAGTAAATCTATAAGCACAAGAGAAGACCACAGATCAAATTACATAACCCAACTGTAACGAAGCCATGTGTCAGTTTGCTCCAATCGGCGTTTGAAATACACTCTGTTTCTACAAATAAAAAAGCAACAAACCAAGTGGTTGCGTGTGTTACTTACCAAAAACAAGAATATTCTTGCCCGATGGCAATTTAGATCTGGACCGTGTGGAGACTTCGCTGAGGATGGAGGACCTGGGGAAGCAGCAGAGCGGCCGCGTTACCGCGCGGCACGGAGCGAGCGGCTGTGGCAGCACCGTGAGCTCAGCACATCCGCACCCACGGCCGGCACATGCGGGCTGCGGACCAGCAGGGCTGTCACAGCCACAGGCCAACCGCACTCCGAACTACCACAGGCATGCCACCTTCTACAGAAGAGCTTTTATGATGTCTAAACCATAAGCAGGGACATTTAAGGTTCTCCTCCCTTTTAAGAGGCCGTAATACTGCAGAACATTACTTTTCAACTGTCATCACAATCGATTGCTGTATATTCGATATACGTCCTTCTGCCACGATAGGTATTTTTTTTAAGCGTTCTTTAGAAATAAAAGCCGAAAACACATGAGATCGGCTCTGCCGGAGCCGCGGACGTCCCGCAGAGCCGCGGTCCCGGGCCCCGCTCCCCCGCTCTGCCTCATCCCCGTACTCCCGTCCCTGCGCCCGTGGGGTTCCCATCACGCACCCCCGGGCCCCACGGCGCTAGCCCCCGGCCCCGCCGCCGCCGTCGCCCGCGGGGCCCGAGCGCGGCCCCGACCGGCCGAGAGCCCTCGCTTCGCTCCGCTCCAGCCCGGCGGAGCCCGGGCTCGCCCCGCCGTGCCGGGCCCGGGCGGCCGCAGGCACTCACCAGAGGTTCTGCCCCTCGTCCTCCTCGCCGGGCAGCTCGGCCCCGCCGGGCCCGTCCGGCCCCAGCAGCTTCTTCTCCGCCAGCACCGGCGCCATCTTGGAGCCTCTGGTACCTCCCCGCAGCCCCGGTACCTGTCCCGGTACCCCTCTGTTACCTCCCCGCCCCCCCGGCACCTGTCCCGGTACCTCTCTGGTACCTCCCCGCAGCCCCGGTACCTGTCCCGGTACCCCTCTGTTACCTCCCCGCCCCCCCGGCACCTGTCCCGGTACCTCTCTGGTACCTCCCCGCAGCCCCGGTACCTGTCCCGGTACCCCTCTGTTACCTCCCCGCCCCCCCGGCACCTGTCCCGGTACCTCTCTGGTACCTCCCCGCAGCCCCGGTACCTGTCCCGGTACCCCTCTGTTACCTCCCCGCCCCCCCGGCACCTGTCCCGGTACCTCTCTGGTACCTCCCCGCAGCCCCGGTACCTGTCCCGGTACCCCTCTGTTACCTCCCCGCCCCCCCGGCACCTGTCCCGGTACCTCTCTGGTACCTCCCCGCAGCCCCGGTACCTGTCCCGGTACCTCTCTGGTACCTCCCCGCACCCCCGGTACCTGTCCCGGTACCTCTCTGGTACCTCCCCGCAGCCCCGGTACCTGTCCCGGTACCTCTCTGGTACCTCCCCGCACCCCCGGTACCTGTCCCGGTACCTCTCTGGTACCTCCCCGCAGCCGCGGTCCCCGCCCTGCCGTGCCCCGCCAGTGTAGCCCCGTGCCGGCAGTGCCGGGTGCAGATCTGGGTGAGCACACCGTGTAAATTGTTGCTGACTGATCAAGCTGTCATTACTACCCCATCCTCACACCCCTAACACCCTCTGTTTGATCAACAGAACCAGGAGAGCACGTAGATTTTACAAACGGACTTTCCTGGATGGTTTGTCAGTCATTCCAGCCTTTCAAAGTGCTGAAACACTGCCCTGGGTGGCCCAACAAGCCTAAAAGTGACATCAACTATTTTCATGCAGTTTTGGTTTTGTGGTGCCTGTTACGTATGGATTTCAAAGCACTTATGCAAGAAATTAAACTGATCAAAACTGCATTCAATCCAAAGGAGAGCAAAAGACTTGCACAAATGGACACCTCAGGTTTCTGCCTGTTCCTGATCCATGACTTTCCTTTCGTTTTGTGGTGCCTGTTACGTATGGATTTCAAAGCACTTATGCAAGAAACTTAAACTGATCAAAACTGTGCAGTCAATCCAAAGGAGAGCAAAAGACTGAGAGCAAAAGACTTGCACAAATTGACACCTCAGGTTTCTGCTTGTTCCTGATCCATGACTTTCAGATCCCACCAGAATGTTCCAGTGATGTGGTTTCAGCCCCTGCCTTGCAAGAGGAGGTGAAGCACAAGCAGAGGCTGCCCAAAGAGGCAGCAGGAATTCCTTCCTTGAGGAGTCTCAGAACTTGACAAGGCACTGAACAACTTTAATAACTTTGACCTCAGTCCTTCTCCGAACAGGAGAGGAGACCAAAGGCTCCACAGGGCCCTTCCAATCTGAACTACACCTAAGGTGTGGTAAATTGTCAGTATTGCAACATTCTCACCTTGTGGCAAGTAAAGATTTACAGCTTACATATTTTAGCCACTTGAGACATATTTCAGGTCTTGACAATGTGGATACTAATACACATTCAGTCAAAGGATGAAGTAACAGCTTGTGTGGACTAGGATGGCGCCCCTGGAAAAACATCTGGAGTGTGTAAGGGACCCCAGTGCCCTTGGGGACACCACCTCAGAAGTTGTTTTGGCTCCTACTCTGCCAATAGTTCCATTGATACTCAACCCTGTTACTGCCAACAGCTCCAAGTAGAGACATCTTTTACAGATGTTTCAATATTTTAAAAATAAAAACCCCCCAAATTGCAACAGCTGAAAATATTAGAAGACATATTTATTGCATCATTGGCATCATCTTTATTGCAAGTCTCTCAGGTTTTGGTTACCTTGCCTGTTTTCAAGCATTCAAGCCACTTCATGGTGAAAACCTAGTGCTAATACAATAACGAAACCTTTTCCACAATAAATTAACTATTGATTCATCATTCCTTTATCAGAACAAGTAAAAAAATGCAACTGAAATACTAAGGCTATCACTGAAAAAGCAAGTTACCAGGGCTTTCAGTAAAGCTTCCTATAAAAAATGTGTAATTAGCAGAAATGCTGGTTCTGCTCACTTATTTGAAAAATACACCAGAAAACTGTCCAACTATAAACAGAAGCCAAATTCTACCAGTACCTGCTCAGTTCAACAGTGAGTACAGAATTTCTGTAGCAGTGAAAGATTTGCCTCCTCTGTGCAGCAGTGTTTAACCACACATTCAGTGTTTTCTGTCACAGAGACATTTTTCTGCACATGCAGCGTATTCAACACATGACAAAATATTCTACCTGCTTTAAACATTTAATTAAGAGAAGACATATTCAGACACAACAACATTAACAGCAGTTTCAGACATAAAGTATTCATTTTAGCAATACATCCTTTTCTTACAAATGGTATCCTTTTCTTACAAATGGTATAGAGCAAGCCACAAAAAGCTAACTCAAAAGTTGCATAGATCAAACGCTCAAGAAAGTTAAATTAAGTTCCAAATTATTTTTACTGATAGAGATTCTGTTGCCTATGATAGCATTACTTAAATAAATTGTCAAGTTATGGTAAATTTAAATTATAATGCATAACAATTCTGTCAGTTGTCACTGAAAAACAGGAGTCCAAACCAACCTAAATTCTCCAAGGGCTCAAGTTGTTCTGGCAATACCTCAATATTACAAAGGCTGTTCTTGAACATTCTGCAACAAAATCCAAAGCACTCGCAGATGATGTTATTGATGTCCTTTGTGAGCTTTTTTCTTCTATAAAATGGACATAAAAGAGAAAATATCAAGGTAAATGTTGCCCCAAACCACTGCACAATTACAGATTAGCTTTCAGTAGACAAAGCCTTATCACTTAATTGCTCCCATGGTCTCCAAAGCACAGGAGCAATGCTCCCTATGTGAGGGATGCATGGATTTATCACTGGGAGAGTGCTGCAGAGGCTTTCACAGACCAGCATCACAACAGAGGCTGAGCAGACAGGAGACCAACTTCCCGATAAATACAGGGATTAATTCAGAGTCCTTAATGACACCCTCATTCTCTTTGTACCCTGTCAGGTGGCAGTGGCAAGTTCCAAGGCTCTCTAGTCTTTCCCTACTTTAGTTCTCTCTCTCCAAGCACCAATTTGAATTCCAGTTCTGATGGAATTACACCAGAGACCATTCCCATGGCCATTCTCATGGGCACTGCACTGACACAAGGCACAACCCCATGGCCGCACCCTCGGAAAGCCTGTCTTTACTTCTGCAAGTCAGCTCAGGGGCAAACAATGAAAACTGGGCTCCCAGCATTTGCCATCAGTAGCAAATTCAGTGATGAGTACCTGCACCTGTAACCTGTAGTACTTCTTGGAAAGATCAACGCTTGTCCGTCCTTTCTGGAAAGGGTAAGACCACAAAATCAAATTCCAGTGGTTGCCCATTTTCTCAACGCCTTTCAAAAGGCAGTTGATTTCTTCAGTTGTGAAATCTTTTCGGACTCTTCTCTTGTTCAAAGGTCTCATGCTCATGGCCAGGGAACACATTTCATTACTCTGCAAATAATTATTTTGGTGTCATTAAGAATTATGTAAATGTACATACTATTTTGCACGTGGAAGTAACATTACCAGCAATTAAACATTTAGTAGTTGTAAAGAAATTGTCTCACTGGCAAGGGAACAATGCTTCTCCAATGTTTCCTCACTGTCACCACTTACTAAAATACAGTAATTTTCTGTGATCTTCATTTCTGTTGTGCTTACATAGTTTATTCTTTTAGTAGGTTTATTCATTTAGGTTTCTGTTGCTTCCATAGTGTGCAAATCTTCATCAATACAGGAAAAATCAGACCTTCCAATCCACCATTCTGAAAAGATGTCAGCTGAAAAATGCTGAACTCAATTCAGGGCTAAATCAGTGTGACTGGAGTAGAATCAATACAGGAATATTTTTTAAATAAGGTTCATTTTGCTACTGGGCTCCTGTTAAAGGTGACTAAAAAAAAGCCTACGCAATTCCTAGTGCTTTTATTTGGCCATTTATAAACATGTCAGTGCATGATTAGGCTTTGTATAACTAACCTCATCTTTGTCAAGTGAATGTATGCAATTTTCTTTTAAGTGCTGACATTTCTGGCTGCACATCTCTTTGATTCTCTGTCTCTTCAGGTTAGCATCTTGGTTTTTTTGTAAAGCTACAAAATTGTGAACAAGGAGGCCACTTAGTCACTTTCAACTAACTAAAATCTACTGAAAACTGGATATAAAACTGTAAAAGAGCATTTATTCTAATGAATCTGAGTATGTAAATGTTGCTTTGTTAATAATATCTCATTCTCCTTAGATATTTTTCTCATAATCCACATTAAGGCATAGGGACTACTGATGAACCAGAAACAAATAATAATATTATTGATGTTCAAGTGGATTCCTGTAAGAGATAAGTGTAACACTTTATTTAAATTCATCACCATTTATCTCCAATAGCAAGGACAGGTGCTTCTCTCAATGCCCTGACCTAAATGCAAATACTGATCTTTCAGTTGTGCACATCACAGAATTCATTTTCTGGTAATACTCACACTTTTCATATGCAGGTGTCAAGTTATAGTTGCTAGTCCACCTAACATTTCTGCTATGTTCATCTCTCTTTGAAGTATTAGATTTGTCTTTTCTATTTGGAGTCAAAAGAATGCCTTAAAAATAAACAATAAAAACCCAAACAATAAAACATTACACACTTTTATTAGAAAAAACCCCAAATCATAAAACATAGGTTATGTTTTAGGAATTAAAATTTAAGAGAGAATCATCTTTTGAGCCATATCACCAATCTGGTCTTGGAAGAAAGACTGGAAAATTCAGTTTACTTTAGCTTACAGGAAATGTGTACTTACTAAAGACAATATATTATTGTAATGGGCTTTCAAGATGAAATACAGTTGCTTTAGTTAGGTTTTTACATTTTAAAATAACTTTATGGCTTTCATAAGACAAATTAATCAATTACTGAATCTGAAGGGGGAAAAATATAAACATATTCAAAAATCAACTTACTAGCTTTTACTGGGCATTAATTAAATAAAATAACCATGTAAACAAGGCTTTTGAAAATAAGAGTACTAAAAATAAATTTTTGGTGGAAATTTCAAAATTCAAATTTCAATTCTCATTTCAAAGAATTCATTAAGGATTCCTGATCTGGCTGTTTATCACAAGCCCCAAGTCCTCAACAGAGCTCCCAGCAGGAACAGGAGCGGGTCTAATGGAAAAACATGACTGGAACTGTGTAAGGAGTGGTGTTGAATCCAGGTTCAGGCAGCTAAGCTCTGCTTTGAGCACGACTAAACCTCTCCAATTTTAGAAAACAATGCCACAAAAAACTGAGAAATAGCAAATGCCAAGGAAGTAACCCTGACAGGATTCAAAACAGGATCAACACAGCAAGTGCCAGATAACTTTGCAGAGAGACAATGTGCATTACACAATTTCATGATTATAGAGTATGCATTTTATGGCCTAACAATATACAGATTATTCTCAGAATCTAGAGGAAAAAAGAGTTTTCTATCCACAGTCTCCCATGGTAAAGTTCTGAAAAAGAATTAATAGACAGTAAGGGCTTTTCACACAGATTTCCAAACCAAGCCCTTACTTTGGAAACTATCCTTCTTGCTCCTAAAAGTTGGTATTTCTTTATGTAGCCTGTCTTTCTTCACTGGGGTCAGCAGCATTTCTGGAAAATATAAGATGAGCATCAGAACAAATGCCAGTAAGTAATAACTGTTTAATTTTCAGAATTCCTTCTTTAAACCAGAAAAATACAGGATGTGCTTCTATTTAATTCATTAAGATCTCTAAGTATCCTGGACCCGTAAGTGTATCAGGAAGAGCGTGGCCAGCAGGAGCAGGGAGGCCATCCTTCCCCTGTGCTGGGCACTGCTGAGGCCACACCTCGAGTGCTGTGCCCAGCTCTGGCCCCTCACTTTGGGAAGGACCTTGAGACGCTTGAACACGTCCAGAGGAGGCAACGAGGCTGGAGAGGGGCTGGGAACACAAACCCTGTGAGGAACCACTGAGGGAGCTGGGGGTGCTCAGCCTGGAGAAAAGGAGACTCAGAGGTGACCTTATCACTCTCTGCAGGTGGCTGTGCTCAGGTGGGGTTGGTCTCTTTCTCCAGGCAGCACTGACAGAAGCAGAGGTCACAGCCTCAAGCTGCACCAAGGGAAACAGAGGTTGGATATTGGGAAAAAGTTTTTCATGGCATGAATGATAAAGTATTGGAATGGTCTGTCCAGGGAGGTGGTGGAGTCACCATCCCTGGATGTGTTTAAAACAAGACTGAATGTGGCACTCGGTGCCAGGGTTTAGTTGGGGTGTTGTTAGGGCATGGGTGGGACTCGATAATCTTAAAGGTCTCTTCCAACCCAGTCATTCTGAGATTCTGTGAATACTGAATGAAATTACTTTGGTGTGGTCATACATTTACTTGCACATATTTCAACTTAATACATTCCTTTCTCTTAGGACTTGACTATTTCTGGCAAATGTGAGAATCTTATGAAAGCCTATAATGAGCATCTGTCACCATGGCAAGAAACACACAAGATCCTTCAAAACAGAAGTGGCCGGTTCTAATGTCACTTAGTACAAATCACTGTAAATCAAATTCCATGAGAGAGTTTAAAACAGCAAGACAATCAGAAGCAAATAAACAGAAGTTCAGAATTTTAAATGCAATTCTAAAGCAACGGTTCCAAGTACTGAACATAAACTCCATACTCTGGTGAGTTGCAGGTCTGCTGTTGTTACCAGCAGCCACCCTGCGGAGCTCCCCTCGGTGTCTTTCTTCAGCCTCCAGGATGACTCTGTGGTGCTCACACCTGTGCAGGCAACTCTGCAACATCTTGGTGAAGGTTTTACTGTTCAAGGATAGTCCTCCTGCTGTGCAACCTGGGAAAAACAGGATATTGCAGAAACAGCAATCACAGCTTCTAAACAAGCCACCACAAAGTTCAGGTTTTATTTTGCTCACTAGGATCAATTTGACTTCAGGTTTTCCATAATCATGGCATTTTTATGTGACTTCTTGAAATACTTTGTATTTGCTCTCTTAAAAAAAATAGTTTTCAACATTTTATGGGATTAAGTTACACTGCAGTTCCACTCCAGAAGTACTGAGTGAGGCACAGAGCTAAATCTAGTTTAGGCATGAATGCCCTCACAGGAAGCCTTGTTGTTCATTTTTGAGGACATTCCTAGGGTAATTTACGGTTTAGATATACTTGGAAGCCCTCATGATTAAGTTACATCAGCTGAAGCAGAACTTGTGTGAGGAGTCACAGGAAGGGCACAAGAATCTATAGCATTCTACCTTAAGGTAAAGCAGTGCTAAATCTCAGCTTGAATTTAGTTTGACAACTCAGATAAAAATAATGTTCAAAGGTGGGTTATGGGCTGCTTTGGAGGGGGGGGGTCTTTTGTCTTCTGTGGGTTTTTGTTTTGTTAGGGGTTTTTAAATAAAGAAACATTGGCTTGATTACAAAATCCACTGACAAATCCAGAGTACCAGCAACATTCTCATGACCTACTGATGGAGCAGGCTGAGGAAGTAGAGCCTGGGGTAATGGAGGGCTGTAGATGTGGATTACCATGAAACTGCCTGCCTATACTTCACAGCAGTGAGGCAGAGAGGAGAGAAGGGCTGCAAAACACTGAGGAGGCTTACCAGGAGAATAAATGAGGGAAATGAGCAGGGCTATGTGTTCTTCCTCCATCTCGGAAAGCAGAGAAAGGAGGAAAACACTTGCTCAAGTATTCTTCTAATTAGGGAGACCCACATTATTACACACATTAAACCCACATCATTACATGGACCAAAACTGCAATTTGTCAGCTTTATTTCAGTATTTATCTTTTATATTAGAGGTATAAAAAAGGGGAGGAAGGAAGGAAGGAAGGAAGGAAGGTTGGGAAAGGAAGGGATGTATTACAATTTCTGTCAAGTCAATCCACTTACTGCACTGCTGACTCTTTAAGGCTTCTTTATGTACTCTGGAAAGAAAGATTTAAGATAATACTTACCTAAACATCTTAAATCTGCCATTTTATGGGATGAAGGTGTAGCTGAAGTACTTTTCACTCTCTCAGTTTTCTCTGAGCAGAATGAATCTAAATGAGGGAGGAAATAAGTCACTAAGAAATGTAACCTATCTTTTGCCATGGTAATCATGCATCAGTATAACTACATCCAACTGCATTCTCTATTTGTAATAATCTATTTGTAGATTATTAAAGTTTAATTAACATAACAGCAGAAAATCCAAGTGGAATTTCTCAAGTTAAATGCCTCACATTCACATTTTTGTAACTCCAGAATAACCAAGTTCAATTCAATGTTTTTTCACCACTCTCCCAAAGGAAATTACTTCAACTTGAACATAGTAAATTAACCTGGTAAACCCATATTGCTTAACTAAGCCCTATAAATTTTATTTTGGTTTGGAATCAAATGCTGAAAAATGTAATCTATTGGAATAACACATATTCTCACTTTAAACAGATGTAAACTGGAGATCAGCTGGTCACCTGTAAAGCTCCCATTCTGGCAAATTCTAATCTAATGAATACTCAGCAATTTTATAAATTAACAGGAAAGTAAACAATGAATAAATATTTGATTGAACCGATCCCAGTTCTGAAATAAATGTATCAGACCAGGATTAATGCAAATCTGAAAATCTTTTTTCTTAAACACATGTTCACCATGTAGGAACAGCATCAGGCAAAAGTCACTCTCACAGGCAGGCTCTATCCCAGCCTTACAGGCACTGGACCAAACCTCCATTTTCTGTTAGTGGCTTTCAGTAGTCAGATTAAACACTAAACTTAATCTCTGATACATTCATTTGTATAGTTAAAATCAGTTTAAAAAAAGAAAACTAAAGTATGTATTAGAAGAAAAGTAGGATAAATGTTCTCCTGGTAAAATTGTGTACAATATAAAATTCCAACACTATGCAAACCAGTTAAAGGATATTACACATAAGGCACCTCTGTCATCTAATGATACATAACAAGTGATAAAAAGTAGTGATAAACGTACACAAAACTAATTAAAATCTCATTAAGAACAAAATCAGCTCAGAAAGTAGTATGTGTAGCTATTTGTACCTGATACACATGTCGGTTTCGTATTTCTAACAGTCTCTGCTGGTTGTTTAAATAACTGTTCACTGGGAAGATCAAAATGTAATCAAATTAAAACCAATAAAACAATAAAAACAACGTACATTTACCTGCAAATGAATACACGCATTCCAAGGGCACAACAAAAACACATATTAAATATATTAAAGACAAAACTCTAAAAAAATTATTCTAATTATTCCAAGTTACTGGACTTATGGCACCCAGCATGTATCAGTGCATGTTAAAACCTGTTTCCCAGAGATCTGTGACCGGCATTCTGTGCAGTCGGTTCAGCAGGAAGTGCAGAGCTGTCACTGGTTTCTGGAGAAATTTCCAATTCAGATTCACATAAGGATTAGCAAGTGCACACAAAGCTCTCACAAAGTCTTCAGAATACTGTAGCCTTCATCATTTGCAGTAAATACTCTAAAAGGTAATTGGTTTTCTTCTTTTCTTAGCCCAGTTAACTTCTGTGCAACCAACACACTGCTATGATACCCTGATGGAGCATTTTTGTGTCCCTGACCCCCTCAGAAAGCTGCAGGAGCAAGAAGCCTGATCCATGGTTACCTTCCAGTAGCTCCTGTGTTCACACAAAGAGATTTTTTTTAATTGATATTTTAAGAACTTTGTGCATCAGAGCCCAGAACAACAACTAAAGAAGCTGTGAAATTATGCTGACCAGCAGCAAAGCAAAATTTACCTGAATGTACCATGGAAAATATCCAGGCTCTTGGTGATTTCTGTAGTAATTGCAAATTAACAATATAATACCAGGAAACTGCACAGAGCAAGGTGCAGCCAGACACATAAAAAAAAGGCACAATAAAAATGTGGAACTCAAAAAGCCCAAAACAAAACATAAAACCCCCCAAAAATGTAGTTTTGCTTATACTTTTCCATTGACTGTCTTGAGGGATATTCCAGATATAAACTCAAGAGAATGGAATCTGTATTTATCATTACAAGTTAGCTATAAATAATTTTGGGTTTATCAACAGGAAAGACAAACACAAGCAGCAAAAGAAAATGAGGAAAACTAGCATCTGTGTGAGACCAACGAGCAAGAGAACAGCCCCAAATAGGGCTGTTCCTTTCCCTTTCCATGCAGGGTAGCACTGGAACATGAGGTGAGAACAGCAGAGGTGCAGAAACTTTTCCCCCTACTTTGTACACACTCTAGTTTCAGTGCTTTTCCAAGCAGTTCTCTACCTGCTGTTTCCCTAGTAAGTACACATTACTGAAACCATTGTGGTTTTGTCCAAACCAACAGCTTAAATCTTGGTCTGTTACACCAGTGAGAACTCTGGGGCAAAAGCCAGGAATGATTTTCAGTGCTATGCTGAAGGCACTCAAACATGCCCTGAAAGAGGCTCTCTGTACAACACCTGCACTCAAAGATCAGCAGCTTTGTTACTGCAATGACTGCAATCTTTGATCTGTGACTTCCAAAACAACCTCTGGTGGGCCACCAAGGGCTACGCCTTTCCACTAGGAAAAACACCCATAGTTAGTGACAGGTAATTGTAAAGCCTGTCAATCTGGAATGACTAAAGAAAAGCAACTTAGTATTTCTGCTTAGGTGTAAGATTCTCACCCTGCCTGAAGACCAGACTGATTTTTTCCAAAAGCAGTTTTTCCATCTATATTGTGACTTTGAGGTACACTGTCTGTTTGCAGCTCAGTGACTGAACACGGAATGTTCCTCTGTTCAGTTTGTCTGGCAGGAGCAGCATCCGTAGTGTTCACCGTTTCGTCTTTTTGTGGAGCAGAAGTTACAGATGAAGCAAGAACCTGATTGTTCAACTTTGAGGTCAACTGTGGACAACAGACATCTTTCTGTGTTCCTTCTGTGTACTTCTTTGGATCAAGAGGATTCACTTCATGGGATGTTAATGCTTCAGAATTGGCTACTGAAGATTCATCTACAAATGTTTCTCCTTGCACTCTTTCCTGTATTGAAAAATACTGGTTAGTGATTATGTGAGCTCTAAAAAAATGTTAACTTAATCCAGTGCCAGGATTAACTAGATAGTCGAACTCTGAGGGTTAAGCAAATTCCAGAGAAGCTTCAGAAAACCCCCTGACTGAGCTGAGAGCCAACAAGACAGCAATGCCACTTAAGGTATTGAGGGGGTACTTCCTAAGTGCTGATTTCAGGCTAAAGCAAGGAATTTGCTACTAATGCAAGGCACTGCTAGAAAGTAAGAGCCATCTAAATAACTCATAAACTTGTTGTTCCAAACCCACAGATACTTAGAAGCTTTAAAGCACAAGGAAAAAAGGAAACAACCTTAGCTTATGTTCGCATCCTCCTTTATCATCTATCCAACCACAGCTGTACAACCCTGAGCATTTCATACATACAAACACTAAAATTATAGATTTGAATGTCCAGCAATTAAAAATAAATTCAACTTCTTTTTCTGTCTCATACAAAATCTGGGTTTACAGTACACTAGAACACTTCATACAATACAGATGCCTCCCTTCTCTGCACACCTGTAACTCGGTCTGATCTACAATACTGACAGAAGTTGCAGGTTGTAGTTTCACACAAATCCAACGTTTTTTCCTGGGTTTTTTGCTCACATTCAAATTGTCTTAAGGATTTACTTTTACTTTCTCCTTAAACTCTGGAAAGATGTGATTAGTTTCATCCTATTTTGGTAAATAGGCCAACCTCATCATGATGTTTTTCAATCGAGTTTATTCTGTGTAAAATTTCTTTTGCTTTCTTCCAGTAGTCTTGCAGACATCTTTTTCTGACCTGCACATCCAATTCTTCTGCATTGTTCACATTTAATGAGTTATCATATAATTTCAGAGACAACTGTTCAGCTTTATAAAATATGAAACAACATTAATAGTTAATATTTTATCAAGTAACATTTAAAAAGCATTTATTATATCTTAGTATGCTGAGGGCCAGCACCAACAATTCAATGCAAAATAGCAATTGTTATAAAACTTAAATTTATACATAAATGTTAACACACTTGAAATATAAGCTGCAGTTACAAGAAGTGAACTTGCAATTAAAGTTCCTACAAACTCTTTTCACAATGATGCTGTGAAAAAAAACACTTTTTCATTGACTTAACTCTGCCTTCTTCACCAGTATGAGTCTCTGCTTTAAAAAAAAAACCAATTCCATATTAATGGACACTACAAATCTCCACATCTCCTCAATCTTACAATAACCTCTCAGTTGTGCTTGAAGCACAGAAATGTAGATACTGGTTTGTTTCTTCCTAATTAGCAATTGCACACCCTCCACACTCTAGAGATTACAGGACAAGGTCTCTCTGTTTCATGGGAGCTATTGTACAGATAATTAATAAAAAACTGAAATGGGGCCAAGAAATACATCCTACTTCAGAAAAAAAAAAGATCAAGATTTCTTAATAGTGGAAATTAATGTAGACACAGTGATTTTGGGCTTGATTATCTCCTGGTTTATTCTCTCCCTCTAGTGCTACATCCCCAGGAAGAGAGTATCCACTGGGTGTTAAATGACAATGTTCATATTTTCCACACACTTTATAGATGGGAAAGCTTTAAGAACTGGCCCTACATGGAGAGGTTTCACAAATGCATTACTGCAACACTGCTGCAATTCTTACTTCTCTTTTTTCTGCCTAAGTCAGTTCTTGATGACAAATAAGCAACTTTCTGTGCAGAAAACAAACATCTTTTGGAGTACACAGAATTACAAAGCTGCTGCAGTTAAAATCACTTGGGGAATCAGCAGAACACAGAGATGGAAACAATCACTGTCATTTTTAAAGCAGGAACAGCAAGCTTACTCATTTGTTTGCAGTTCTGCAGCACAAAAGTAGCAGCTCTGATGAGTTCCTCGTCCTGAGATTCTGTCAATACCTGAATCATAAGTGGCAGACCATTGTTCTGAAGCAGCTCACACTGGTTTTCTTCTAGAACAGGACATGGCAAAGAAAAGGTTTGGTTGCAGCCCCACACACCTTAACCTTACAGTAATTTTAGGAGCCAATACTGGCAGCTTTCTGCAAGTTTCTGTAGAAAGAGAGATTTTCATTACAGACCCAAGCCTGCTGCAGTGACAGCAGGAGAGCTTTACATCCCACAGGATGATTTGACCAGAACTCAGACTACTGTAAGAAAACTGAAGGATGACTACTGAGACAAATTATATGACGGAGTTCCAAGCTCATTTAATTGTGGCCTAAAACATTTGAATAATGACTCTTGTACTTCTTCTCTTCCATGACCGGCTCTTGGAGAAGATATGCAACATTTGAGTGAGGCCTGAGATGCACAAATATCAAAATCTCAAGGTTTATAACCAGCAAAATAAAATTAGTAGTTTAATCCTGGTCTAGCCAATCTGTTCCTCCTCATTCATTATGTAATTAGCTTAATTTTTATTGTGACCTCATTTGCATATGTATTCATAGAACTGATAACTTGCTAAACATAGCTCTTTCTTCTTTAAACTTAACTAAAAAAATGAAATAAAAAAAATTAAACTTTTATTTTGACAGTGTTGACATTTTAAGAGAAACCTTTTTTCTGTTGGTGTAATCATTTTTACTATTCAAAAGACATTTTCCATTAAGTCTTGTTTCACTAATTCTTCATGAAAAAATGTCTGTTAAAATAAATTTGTGTCCTATTGAGCTAATCATTGAACATGTTATTGGCACTCAGAGGATGAAAACCAACCAGGATTTTTGAACATAAGGCCTTTTCCTTGTTTATCTAAACACACATGTGAAAAAAACAGGACTACAAATGAAATTCCCCTTCTCTTTGCTTGCACTACCACAAAATACCAACTGAAGTGTTGCATTTGTGCCAGATATGCTTGGGCAAGCCCTGAGGAATATGACAAATACATTTCAGGGCTACCTACTGCTTCTGTGTCTTGAAAACCAATGCTCTTACATGGCTCTTACAAATATTACTGGCCTTGTAAGCAGTGGACAGAACTCTGTGTTCCAAGCACCATGGAAAGGGTGCTCAAGACAACCCATCTGCCATGTCTGGATTGCAGTAGCTTTCAGGTCTGGATTAATTCTTTTCTGTGACACCTAAGCCCAGCTCTGAATTCTTGCATATTTAGTCTACTTTTTCAAAGCTACTAGAGACACTTCCTGCTAACAAGCTTTAAAATTTAAAGATGGAACATGATAGAAAACTTTTTGTCCAAATATTGACATTATAGTATTTAAGAGAACTCTCTCTCGTGTTCCAGTCTTGATGAAGTGACACCACTGGAGGAGTCAGTGTATGAGAATTTAGGAGAAGCTGACAGACAGGAAAAAGAAAAAGCAAATCTTACCACAAACTTCAGTACAGTGCCCAATTGTTAGAATAATACTGATTTTTTCTCCTGTGCTCAGTGTCTCATTGGACAGCAGCTTCAGCAGCTCTGACACAGTGTGATACTGTGCCAAGACAACACTCATGGCAGCTGTTTGTTAAAACAATTGGAAGGAAAATAAAGTCGATCGTGAGTGTACAGGAATTATCCAAGGATAAAATGCTGGGTTTTGAGGGAACCCTACAAACCCCTCAAAGCCTTGGGCCTGCTCAGCCCTGCCCTGCTCCACCTTCAACAGTTCAGATTACCCCATCCCTCCTGTGCTGCTCCCAAATCCAGCCCTGCCCATCCTCCCAGCCTGTGCTCCATGGAGATGAGGCAGAAGATCTGACGAACGAGGGCTTTGCACTGTGCAAGCTTTGGAGATCCCTGCTGAGTTTCTCCACATCCTTTATCAGCTCCAGCACTGAGCCAGAGCGAGTTGAATCAGTTCTGACACACAGAGTATCTGCCATAAGAAGAGCAGGGGGCACCTGGCACTGGCAACACCACAGCTAGCCCATCCATGCTGAGGCCTAGTCCTGTCACACCCAGCTGATCTGAAACTACCCTCAGAACTAGTGCAGGCTTATGTTTTTAAACTGTTGTTTAAACTTTTTAACCTTCCATTTGAAGCTCTTATGGCACAAGTGTGAGATACACCAACCATGGCCACAGCACAGGCTCGTCAGGATCACAGGTTTCTGCAAACCTTGTGTGGAAAACACCAGACCTCATCAGGAAAGCAGTACCCAGCCAGCAAACCAGAGCAGAGTGTGCTGTGCAGAAAACACCACCTTCGTTCAGCTCCACCTCTGAATTACTAAAGCTTCCTAGAGCTACACAATTTATTATCCAGGCATAGGCCTAACTCCAGGATCCAAACTGACTGACCAAATCCAGGCTCAGAGCTCAGCTTTACTTACCCAGCATGAGCTGTAGCATCTTATTTTTAATTTTCAGTTTGGTTTAAATTTCACTGTATGCATTTTAGCAACAATGGGACAGTAATCCACCTCAAATGAACTGAATCACTCCCCACTTACACCTCTGAACTTTAAAAAACACTGCAACATCCACTGGGATGTACATTACTTAACTGCCTTAAAGCATTCATTTCTACAACTTTTCCACCAGCACAAGACTTTAAAAATTGCACTTGAAAATTACATAGACAAAAAATGTCTTTCCACTCACAGTTATTAGCAATGCAGGCATCCAGAGTCTTTGTTACTACCACTGCAAGTTTCATGCTGGAGTGACTCAAACAGGAATCATGCATAAGCTCAAGGAGAACTTTGGCTAATGTATCCAATCCTCCAATAGAAACAAAATATTTCTGCACATATGCTTAGTAGAAAAAAGAAAAAATGTGATTTAAGCAACAGAGTTTGCGAATTATTTTAGTATTTCACCAACTAAGTCCATCAGAGTTCTTCTGTGCATGTGTTAGTCATTACATTTCTTATACAACAGAAGCTGGATATACATTAATTCCAAGAAATGTAGTAACTGCAAATAACATAGTTACAGGAAAACATGACCCTAATATGTGCACACAAATAGCAAACATCAAGCCTGAATTCTACCTAAGTCATTGTTTTCAGTCATGTAATAGGGACTTCAATTTAGACACACTTTTAATCAAAACACCTCCAAACAGTTTTACTGACCCTATGAAATGTAACCAGATTGTGACTGTTTGTGGGCTTGAGCACAGTGCAGTGTAAGTAAAGATGGTGGAGTACAGTGGTCAGAGTAAAAGCTGGAAGAACAGCAAATGACTTTGTAGAGATGGACAGGAAAGAGGAAACCATTTAACTCTCTAATTAAACTTCCTTTTATCAAATGAAAAACTGTGTAAAGCTTGAGCTGCACTTACAGTTATTTGCAACTGTGAGACCAAGAAATGAACAAATGGGACGAACTATCTCAGGCTCTGTGCAACTCTCGAGCCACTCTTTGGCATAGGGAAAAACCGAACAGCAAATGTTTTGATTATCTTCTGGAAAAGTAAAAACAAATTACCCCAAATCAAAACCCAATGAAATGAAACTTCAGCTGAACAGTAAAAATGAAATCAAAGTGCTACCAATTTGGAGAATATCTTTGAACTTCTTCCACAACTTTCAGAGCAACACCTACCGTTCTGGGGGTTGTTGACACAGGCACACAGAGTGCTGCACACTGAGGACCAGAGCTGAAAGCAGGGATCAGTGTTTTTATCTGACACATTCTTCTCAGAGGTGGAGAGAGTTGTTCTGTTAAGGACAGTGCAAACAAGTCCCAAATAGTTAAGGAAACATAGCTGCTAACCAGTCTATTATTTGTCTGCTTGAACTGCAGCCCTGTTTACCTGAATAACTGCAGCAGCAGGCTGATGCAGCCTGTATCTCTGACATAGGTTTGCCCAGTTTCTAAAAGAGAACACACACGAGACTCCAGAGACAAATGCAACTGCAGACAAAACCTTAACATCAAGTTTCATTTACATACATACATTCCCTTTCCCAAGCACATATCCTCCCAGAAGGAAATACAAAATCGTGTCAACATATTGGTAAAAAACCTTTCTATGTCTCTCTCTTTCTATACACTCTCAGAAACTATGGGTTTGCATTTGCAAACTGTATTTTTAGAACTAAACCATGTTCTGCTGTTTAAGGAAATCCCAGTGAGCAATAACCCTCCTTTGACAATTCAGGTTCAGTTACATGCAAACGTTCATCTGTATAAATTCACTTCACCACAACATTACTTATTAAATGTTCCAAATTTTGGATGGCAGATTGGCAAATAGAAAAGGAATGCTGTAATACAGAAAAAAAACCCAACTTACTATTATTTGAAACCAGTACTAAGATGACATAAACAGACATTCTTTTCAAGTTCACACCAGAATCCTTTTTAATTAAAAATAAAATGAGGTCTTCAAACAATGCAGAAGTACACAAAGTCTGTTGACAATACACTGAAAACAGAAAGTGAAAACCATTAAGTCCTAAAGTAAGAAACTCACAATCCTAAATTATTAAGTCTCAGTTGTGGCCATTATGTGGGGAGTGTAGACAGGGCAGGACTATGAAGTGACTGAGGGCTTCCCCCTGCAGTGAGCTCTACACCAGACAGGACTCTGGCAAGCTCTGGAACAATCCAGGAGTCACTGAGCACTTGCTGCTGAGGGAGAGGGAGAGTGCAGGTGTCTGCTAGCTTAAAGACACCCTACGTGCACAAATCAACAAGGCACTTTTCAGTTCTGGGGATGACAGGGCACCTTCACTGCCCTTGCTCCAACTGACAATGCTGTAGTCTCATTTGGTGAGACCAAAAGAAAATGGAAACAAAGCAGGAGCACAAGTAATGACAGGGGGCCACAGCGCACTCAGAAATACAAACAATATGATTTTTATTACCATTACTCTCTATAATAATCCCCAGTGTAAACAAAGCTGCTTCCTTTACGATGCCATGAGCACTCGCCTTGGCAAGGTCATTTATAAACATCAAACCACCAATTTCTCGAAAGTATTCGCTCGCTTCGCCTACAGGAGGAAAAAAGAACAGAAACTTTTGCTTTTGTTTATCTGCAAAATGAAAGGCTTCTAAGATTTTCCAGCACCTCAAACCTTATGTTCTTTAGAGAACATTTTCATGGTGCAGTTTCCTAGCATACACGATGAACATAAATTACTGCATTGTTTCTAAGGAAAAGCCTTTCTTACTGTTTTGTTGGCAAATGGAATAGATAGTGATCAAGGCCTCCTTCTGAGACAGAGGGCAGTCCATCTGATATTTAAGGCATTCAAGCAGTAAGTTCAAATCTGTTTTCATATCTAGGAGCAAACACAAAAAAAATCATCAAAATGGTTATATTTTCTATACATGAATCTAGTCAGTATTAGAATAAACCTGTCCAAAATGTAGTATGTACATATATTCTAGCAAAGGAGAGAAAGTGAGCCAAAATGGAGCTACCTCACTTCTATTCAGCCACAAACAACAAACCTAGAAATATTTCTGTCCATAGTTTGTTATTTGAGCATGATTTCCTTTGCAGACTAACAGCCCCCCTTTAGTATTTCTGGCCTTTAATTACTAGTAACTCTTAGTAAGCCTGATGTAAACTGCTAAATATTAAATTCACAGTTGCAAGGTGCATTAAGTGTAAATAATACACAGCCATTAAAATATTCAGAGTGCAAATAAAATTCAGAGTGCACTTGAAACTCTATGGAGTAGTAAGGAAAGAGTCCAAGAGCACAAGGCTGCTCCCTGGCACTGAGTTTCAGGAGACATAAATCATGCAGCACAGCAGCAGAGCCCTCAATCAGGTGGTTGGAGACGGAACACAAAATGTTCTCTGGGCACCCACATACAACCCTAGGTGGGTAAACAGACTCGGAAAATCTGCTTCTTAGACATTGGGTACAATTAAAAGACTTATTTGATAATGATTTCTAACAGTGACAGAAGGTATGGCTTCTTGTAAACCCTTACAAGGTTCGGGGGTTCTTAACGAAGTTACAATACAATAAAAACCTGGATAAATATTAGTGAATTTTTTTTTATAAAGTGACTTTGTGGTGGTGTGCTTTACTATGTGTGTAGGTTTGTCCTTGGATTTACCCTTTGCATATCCAATACAGTATCCAAATTTGGCAGCTAGGAAAAAGCAATTTTCCCAGCTGCTCACCACCCCACAACAGGCCTATCACAGTCTACTAAAACTTTGTAAAATTGATGCAGATTGTAATGACAAATTATATTAGATCTCTTACCACACTGATTTATCTGCACCTTTTGAGTGTCCATTTTTGTTTTAGCTTTGTTCTTGTTCTACAACAGCAAGGAAAAAGTGTTTCCAGGTCTGTTCAGATTAGCAGTCTTTATAATACATGCAGTATAAATGACATCATTTTTCTACAACACACTCTTTCCAGTTTTCTGCTTTTACTCTGTCATCTCACACACACACAGTTTAACGTATTCTTGCATGGCGAAGTTTTCCTTTGGAAATACAGTATTTTATGAGAACCCTGCATTTCTAGCTACCAGGTCTTTTGAGAGCGGACATTCTGCAGAAATCAGTAATTCCGTGTTACCACTGAGGGGCACTGTCAGTAAAGAATATCCCCTGCTCTGTGCCACTGATCACAACAAAGCTGATTCGATTTTCCTTACGAGAGTGGCCAACTTGGCTGTCAGCCAACAACTGGCACTAAGACCAAGTGATGTTACTTCGGGGGTGAACACTATAAAACACTCAGCCTCCTGCTGCTCAAGGAGCCACTGAACCATCAGCGTTGTTCTGGCAGTACTGATCGAACCAAAGGCAATGAGCACAGAGACATATTCCTTACAGTGAGAACTCATTTAAATTCACCAAAGACACTGTCACATTACATGAACCGTGTAACACACAAAACCCCACAGCACTGACTCTTCACAAACCCAGCGTGGCAGCCTCTGAGAGCAGAGCAGCAGAGTGACATTCAGCTTTGGAGGCAGAAAGATGCTCCCTCAAACATGCCCCAAGTCCCAAACACAGAAGGTTGATGCAAGCATCACAGTAACCTCTGACAATTTCTCAAAAAATTACTTAGCTCCAGGCAGAAACTTTAAATCAGTGGCAAATCCAGTTTAATAATGGATTTGATTTCCTTCCCAAAGCAGAGCAAAGGCTCGAAGCAGAATCATTGTCATCTTAATGAAGACTGCTTTCACTTGCGAGTTACTGATCGCCCCCATTCCTTCGCTGTTCCTGTTACAGAGCGAGAACTGAGAGAGCTCATCTCCCTGCAGCCTTTCAGAAGTGAGAACAGACATGCATTTCATTTTCCTGCAAATCCAACCCTGCCACAACAGGCAAAAGCTTGCGAGCCTTCCTCACCTCTTTTTGTCCTACTGCCACCACCCCGCCAGCCTAAGAAAAAACAAAACCCACCCAAACAAAAGGAAGGCTGTGAAAGTGAGTTCATTCTGGAGCTAATTGCTTTTCAGAAGAGTTTAATTTAAGAAATGTTTATACAATTATACAACATAGGAAGCACAAGGGGTTTAAAACTGTATGTACACAAGGATACATCTTGACCTTACTTGGATCTTTTGCAACCTACAGAAGGTACACAAAATAGTATTTACAAGCCAGCCTACATTAATTAGATGCAAATAGCTCACCTTAGTTGTTGCACCACAGGGCAAGGTGGAAAGACAAGCAACTAGATTTGCTTCAACGAACATCTGGCAAATGTTGCATATAAAACTCTTCTCCATCAGTTGTGGAAAATAACCCAGTAACATCGCTTCAAACCTCAGAAACCACTCCTGGAGCAGTGCAGGTCTGTCCATGTGTGTGCTCAGCAGCACTAGAGCACATGGCTGGCACAGTCAGTAGACCAGCCAGCCTCGGCGGGACTCATCCTTCGAAACCCAGGGCCCAAAGCCCAGAGGGGAGAAGCGCGGGTTGTTGGCGCGCTGTGGGAACCAAAGCCCACAGCAGCAGCTGAGGCCGGGAGGACGCTGCGCTGTGGAACGGCACTTGGGGCTGTCCTGGCCTATTTCAGCTCCCTCAGATGAGCCGCGTGTGATTTACAGCTCATTATCACAGCTCCACTTTGACCTCTTAGAAAACACTCCAGATCCGCCCAAATATAAAAGGGAAAGAACATTTAAAAAAATTAAAGTAAAGGGGGGGGGGGCGGAGGGGGAAACAGCAGCTGCAATTCTTCTGTGGGAAGGCCGGGGAGTCCCGAGGGGGGGAATGGGGCACGGCTCAGGTACCTGCGATCGGCGGCGCGGGTGGCTCCGGACAGACCCCGGGGCGAGGCGGGTGCCCGCTGCCCAGCGCTGAGGGGCGGCTCCGCCGGGCTCAGGGACTGAGGGACGGGATCTCGCGGAGCTGAGGGCAGCGCCCGGCCCGGCCCCTCAGGAGCCGCCGCGGCCGCAGCGCCGTCCGAGCGCCTCAGGGGGCAGCCGCCCTCGGTCTGGGGACAGCCCTGAGCCTTCCCCTCAGCCAGGCGGGAAGCACTTGGAATTGTAGAACCGGCAGGGGTGAAAGAGATCTTTAAGACCATCCAGTTCAACGTCAGCCCAGCAATGCCACTGCAAACCCTAAACCTAAACCTAAACTACTAAACCTTTCCCAGTGTCAGATCCGGAGGCCTCTTTAACACCTCCAGGGATGGGCAGCTCCACCACCTCCCTGGCCAACCTATTCCCAGGCCTGAACACCTGAACAGTGAAAATTTTTCTTCTAAAATCTCACCTGAATTTTCTCTCAACGTGAGGCCGCTTCCTCTGGTTCTCACTGCAGGCCGAGCAGGAGAGCGGCCCCAGCTCAGGGCACGCTCCTGTCAGGGACTGGAGAGAGCAGAGAGGTCCCTCGTGAGCCTCTTCTCCAGACTGAACAAACCCAGCTCCCTCAGCTGCTCCTCGTGGGACATGTTTTCTAGACCCTTTGTGAGCCTTGCTGCCCTTCTCTGAACACCCTCAGCCCCTCAGTGTCCTTTTTCACGAGGGGCCCAGAGCCGGACACAGCACTCGAGGTGTGGCCTCAGCAGTGCCCCGCACAGAGGGGCAGGCACTGCCCTGGTCCTGCTGCTCACACTGCTGCTCACACAGGCCAGGTGCCCTTGGCCTCTTGTCCCCTTGGGCACGCTTGGCTCACGCTGACGTGGCTAGTGACCTGCAGCATGTGGCACTTGGCCTTGTGGAACCTCACGCCTTTGTCCTTGGCCCGTTGATCGAGTCTGTCCAAGTCTCACTGCAGAGCCTTCCCGTCCTCTAGCAGATCCACACTCCCACCCAACTGGGCATCTGCAAATTTACTGAGGGTGCTCTCAGTCCCCACCTCCAGATCATCAATAAAATGTTAACCAGGCCCAGCCCCCAAACAGAGCCCTGGAGAACACCTTTCAATGCCCTGCAGTTGGAGGCTGCAATGCCCCCACAACAGAAAGAGCTGCCATCCCTTGGCATTGGCCACACACACAGGTGCAGGAAAAAACCCTTTACTAGGTGGATATGGCTGACAGAACTGAGCTTTCAGGCACACACTCCCTTCCCCTAAAGACCCTGAACTCTATAAAAGGTATTTCACCTTCCAGCTCTTTGCACCATTGGATCCTGAGACCATCACAGCTCCACCAGCCTCTCTCCTTTTGCACCTTCTCCCCACTCAAGCTGATGAGCAGCTTTTATTTTAAAAAAAAAAAAAAATGCAGTTCTGCTGCCAACGAGGTGAGCCAATTTGCAAATGCAACTTACCCTGCCAAAAACAGCTACTGCCTTTTTCTTTCAGAGATGAGTCAAAAAATTCTAGATTTTAAGGAACTGTCAGGATATAGTATAATTTTATTTGTCCTCAGGAAACAACAACAAAAAGAAGATGATTACAAATAAAGAAACTTTAATTGGCAGGTAATACAGAACATAACAGTCCAGTCAGTGGCAGAACACCACAGTATTTACAGAACTGTAAATATTGTCAAAACTGTAAATACAGCAGCAGCAGCGCCTGGAGGCATCAAATTCAAGAGCTTATCCTACAGCTGGAAAGTTGCTGAAGTCTGTGACATTCCACTGTAAATAAAGGTGTTATTAAAAATTACAAACTGCCCTGTGATGACTTTGATAACTTCTTGTGCAGCAGCTCCTGCAAAAGAGAAGAAAAAACAGAAGGCAGTTAGCAGGTCATATTTAAACAACAGTAAAATAATGTTATTTATCTAGAAGTCCCTACATTGGAATTATTTCAGAAGTGCCTGATAAATCTCCTAGCAGGCAAAAAAGCCCCTCAGTACTTCCCAGTATAAAAGATCAGAAAGCTGCTACTTCAAAAGCTAGCTTTGCATACACTTTCTCTCCATGTACAGACACACAGAGTAAAAATGGGTGAGCAGACAGACCCATGCAAGTTGTGACCTCTCTCATCTGAGGAGCTGAATTAAAAAAAAAAAAAAAGGTAAAATTTAACTGCAAAATAAACTGCAGGGTCACTTCAGTGTGTTCCCTCTGAGTTTTCCTGTAGTAAGAAACATTCTGTAACTTCTTCAGAAATTACCTTTATGTACCAAATTTTGCTTTATCAGAAAAAAATTCCTACATATGCAGAATATGATACAAAATCTTCAGCACTGCATGAAGCAAAATAAAGAAGGTAAGTGAATTGATATATCAATTTTGGGTATCCATTAAAATACATTTGCAGGTCAAATGAAGGTAAGAATCCAAGGCTACTTATATTTCATAGATCTTTAACATATGTGTACTAAAAGATATGTACTGCACTGATTTTAAAATGACTATAATTATCATTTTTCTTTTAAAAAAAATTAAACCTCTTTCCAGCATTTCATGTCTTAACACATTTTTAAGCTTGAAGAGTTGATTGTTTTTGAAATGTATTTATTTTACTGATTAGAACCCTTGGTGCACTCAGTTACTCTGTAGGTACTGTAGAGGTCACATCTCGAGAACAAAGGGGAGGACTGTGCCCTACTGCCATCTGTGGCTGCAGCCTTTTCTCTGCGAGTCCAGAGTAAGTAAGGCAGCAGAGTTGTGGCTGAGCAGGCTGCTGTTTGAGTGGCCCTGGGAGTGTCACCCTTACCTCCCATGAAGGCAGCAACAGCGTGAGGCTCGGCAGCTCCGTAGCGACAACTGCACAGGAAAGGAACAGTCACAAACCGCCTGGCAGTTTTACCAACAAAGCCACACCTCAAAAACAACACTTACAACTCGTGCACATAGTCATCTTTCACCACTACAGACAGCCCATGTTCTTGGAGGAAACCAGTAAGGCATGATTTTAGCTTTCCAATATCATCTTCCACCTGGTAGTTGTAGACACCTGGAAAAATCAACTGTTTCATCACACAACTGTAACATCACAGTCAAAGCTAATGGTTTTGTTTTCCTGAAGTTTCTAAGCCAACTAGACTAATAATAATTGAATGTTCTGTTGATGCTTCTCATGATAGACAAATTACTGCATAGCTGAACTGATTCATACTCCACACATCCCATTAACGATACCAATTCAGATAAATTCTTTAAGTTCCTGAAGAGAAAAAAACTCTAATTTTCTAATTTTTTCTAAATTTTCTAGTTTTCACATTCCCAAAGCTGTATTACTATGGAAACAAAACTACAACTGATATTTTTGCAGTTTATAACTTGGACTACTGTAACTATTGGATCTTTATATTTTTATTATGATGTGAACTAACTGGTATTAACATACCTGGGTATCTGCCATGCTGCTTGTAAAACCTATTGACAGCCCTCAGCATCAGGTACAGCACTATTTCACTGTCTGGGTTATCCATATGGGAAACTGAAAACAGCAAGAGAGCTGGTTAGCTGGTGCAGATGGAATGGAAAAAGCAATGTTTTGAATTCCCTGAAAACAAATAGGAAAATCTGCAGTAGAAAGAAACCCCAATGAATACAACCTGTGACAGAACCTTAATCAAACAGCTGTCAGATACACAATTTTGCCTCCAAAGGTTATGACAAAACCATATTTTATGTATTTAATATAAACTATTCAGTGAAGAAACTCACATTTCAATTCTGGCAGCTGCTTTAATTTAAATGGGTATTCCTTAGTTATAATTTTAGGATTTGAAACACATGCTTTAAGTATTATCTGTAATGACTGCTACTTATACCCAGCTCAAAAAAAAAAAAAAAAAAAAAGAAAAGAAAAGAAAAGGCAATTAAAAAGCAGTATCAGGTAACTAGTTTGTTAGTTCACATCCTAGAGACATAAGCTGAAAGGGGTCAAGATAATTATTTTAATTTGGTCAGGTTAAAGCACCTTTTCAGCTCTGTCAGAATAACTGAGGTACAGGAAAGAGAAGTTTGAAAAAAACCAGTTTTATTTATAGAGTACTACAAGTAAAATCCACAAGAAAACAAAAGTTGAAACATGCATCAATCTGTAAGGTAATTTCTGAAATTTCAAAATGAAATTGAATTCAACATTCTAGACCTAAATCTCCATAACTGTAGTAGAGAGACATATTCCTTACACTAAGAATTTATTTTAATTCACCGAAGACTTTGTGACATTCAAATGATAAAACTGCGTAATGCAACAGAACAGGTAGCTTACATTTCCTTTTCCTCACCAAACCATTCCAAGTTGGAAACGCAGTGAGGTCTGTGGCAAGCAGCAGTACTTACTGATTGCATCCCTGCTGCAGGAGTTGGGGCTGTGCTCCTCGGCCAGCGAGCGG